GTGCATGTGTGTCAAGACCAGAAAGGCAGATGTGGCAGTGGAAGATGTCAAAGCAGTTTGGAGAGAAAAACAAAGTAAAGAACAAAAAAAGAAGAAAACGATTAATCGATTATTAAATTAGTCATCAATTATTTTAATAATCGATTAGTCGTCGACTAATCGACTAATCGTGGCAGCCCTAGTCTCTTTAGTGTCCATGTTTTCACACACAGCTGAAGATCATAACACATATTAGCATAATCTCTCACATACTCAAACTCTATCCATCACAGGACTACAAGTGTGTGTGTGTGTGTGTGTGCGTGCGTGTGTGCTTGCGTGTGTGTGTGTGTGAGAGAGAGAGAGAGAGAAGGTTGTGGTTGACGGCCTCAGCGACCGACTTTTTTTCTGTGGTTGACACTTTTTAACTGTAGGCGAACTGCTTCTTACCTCTACAGTGTGTGTTCTGGTGGCGGGTGTTGTCACGTGCAGGCATATGAATGTTACTTCACAAGTGGAAWTGAAACTAAAGTGTCTGCGTGTGTCTTTCTTTAAAGCGTATGTGACTCATACATGTTTTTGGCAACTCATCTGACAAAACTGACTCAAACTGGCCAAAGTTCACTTTTTACAACTTGAATTATTTTTACTTGCTTGTACCTATTTTTTGATGTTTGTTTTTATTCATCACATTGTGTAATGAACCTAAGTATGTACATATGTAAGTATTCATTAAATAAAAAAAAGTCATTGAAACACAGCTTTGATTTGAGGAGGAGCTGAAAATAAACTGTCTGTCCAAAAATAAATAAAAATGTCACCACCTCTGTGAAAGAGTGGTTCAGGGAGCATCTTTAGGATGTACTGGAGAAGGCTTTGCACAGCGGTCGAACTCATCAATGCGAGATCTTGGTGAAAAATTAATCTAACACTGGATAATGTAACTTATGAAACAATGCCACAGCAAATGGTCCTGTAATCAAGGCTAAAGGCGGTCCAACAAAATATTGGTGTGACCTTTTGGCCAGGCAATGTAGTTGTGGCAGTTCCTTAAAATTTAATTTTGAATATAAAAATAAAAGAAAATAAATAAATTCAAGCCAACTGGACGTGTGTGTGGGTCAGGGTTGGGCTGTGGAAATGGTCGGTAAATGAATGGAAGTCAATGCAAAGTCCCTGAAGATAGAAGAACAAACGTGTGTGTGTGTGTGTGTGTGTGTGTGTGTGTGTGTGTGTGTGTGTGTGTGTGTGTGTGTGCACTCTGAACTCTGAAGCACAGTTGTAGTGTAAAAAGGGAAGTAAACTTTCAAAGGTATGCAAACCTATTGAAAGAACCAGCACCTTCATTATTACTGAGATTCCTCATCAAAACAATCTGGTCTTATTGTAATTATACAAAATACGATTCAATTCCAACCAGAAGTAGGATGTAAGAATGTAAAATAATCATTTTTGTACTATTGTTTTTTTTTTTTGTCCTTTTTTATTTTTATTTTATTTTATTTATTTTTTGGTCTATTTTTTACATTGGATTTTAGGAAAATTTTGCTTGAATAAGAATGTTGGGAAGTTTCTTAAAGGGTTTAGAAGCTTGTGAATAAGATTGTTTTTAGATTACCAAGATAAAAAAAAAACATTTGCATTGTGTTGATAATTTTACTGAAGACTGTTTTCCAGCAGCCCCCTCTAGTGGTGCTGTTTTCACTAGAGACCTATGCTTCGAAGCTCCCTCAAAATAAAGGTACTGTTAAGCCTGACTTAGTTAATAAGAAGCCCCAGCTTTTGGGTGTCACTGAAATTCAATAGTTTTCTACTGCTGGCTGAGAAAATACAGCCGTGTTTTGTTCACATGTGAGTCTTTTACTCTGAGTTGGACTTTAAGTGAAACAAGTTCTGTTTGGACGGACAAAGTATTTTTAACTTTAAGTCTTTGAAACAATGTTTTATAATTTGGTGCTTTCTCTGCTTGTCTGTAGTCTGATCAGTTTCTTTTGTTTCCACAGTGGCGCCACCAACAAATGTGACCTTTCACTGTCACAACCTGCAGAACTTCCTTAAGTGGGACTATGGTCAAATCCCACCTGGGCTGAAATTCAAAGTGACTATTGGCTCAGAATCTGGACTGGGCAGGTAGGAATATTTTTCTTTTCTTGGTTTATATTACCGGTCGGAAGTATTTTTGCCTTTTTAAAGTTTTTTTTTTTTCAGTAAAATCTCTACTGTTAACTCCATAAAAAGCCCAAACAGTTCACATACCTGGATTTACAGAGAATATAAAAATGTCTACACACACCTGTGATTGTTTTGCATTTTATCATTTATTTACAAATCTCTTCATTAAATTGGACYAGTCTCATTGCTGTTGTTTGCCCTTTTCCACAGTTTAACAAAATTATATACAAGTGTATATATATATTTTCAGGTGTAGTAATCAGCTTTGGGTTGAAAAACCTCCTCTACAAGCTGATGTGTCGTTTCTCTCGGATCCTGACGATTCCTTCTACCTCGATGTACGAGCTGTGATGGAGTCCAATGAGTCAGACTTTTCTCCACCAGATGGCATCACTTTCAGCTATTTCCACGGCTCTATGGCAAGTCAGAAATGTAAGTGATCGTTTCAGCTCGTGTTGAGCTTACACTGTCATTTGATCAGATGAGTTGATGGTAATGCCCTGTTTCCACGTAGGTGTTTTCTGGAAACACTGACAGAATACATGGGGGGTGGGGAGGGGGGTATATCTGGTGTGAGGAGATATAAATATTTGTAGGTTATGAGTATGAGAGTGGCAARAAATGATAAGGTCTTGTATCTTCTGCTTGCTCTTTTTCGAACAAATACTGTTAAATTGCATATCAATGGGCATGATGATTTCTTTTAATTGAATATTTTTCTTGTTTTTATTTTCCTTTTTTTGTGTGTGTTCTAAATAATAAATAAATAAACTGCGTCAAGAAACAGACATAAAAACATTTGCAGCATTCAGAACAATAAAACCTTAAATACCAGTTTTAAGGGATTTTATCCAATGTTTCAGTTGCATTTTTCTAATCTGCTGTTTTTGTTGTTCAATGTTCTTGTTTTCCAGGTTCTGTGGACCTGCCCCCTGTCAATGTCACTTCTCATCCAGACAACCATGTCATGTTCCGCTTTGAGCATCCCTGGCTGCTGTACCACGACAAGCTGTCGACATGTAAAAAACGCAACAAGAAGAAAGAAGAAAGCCCCCAAAATCCACCACTTTTTACATATCATGCTACAGCAGCTGGCCAGGTCAGGCTGCACACTATTTACTTTTTTATAGTCCATTTCTAGTTCATCTCCTGAAAAAAAAAAAAACTTAAATCTGTGTGATTTAATATTGTGTAACGTTGCTCAATATTTAATGTGTAGTATTGTTCTGTTGCACTGAATTTTTTTTTCTTTTTGTGTCGTGTGTGCAGAAACATACTTACTACTGTGAGGAGAGAGTGTGTGAGCAGACGCTGTTCGTGGACGCTGCGCAGGAGAAACCCTGTCTGCACATCAGTGGAGAGTTTCTGAAGATGTTGGTCGAACCGAAACAAGAGTACTGCGCCCAGCCGATAAAAACTCAGAACAGTCAGTCAAAGTTTTKCTTTTCTTTTTCCTTTAACGAGCCTGAATTTTCTTTCTTGATACACCGCCCAACCAAAAAATAAAAAATAAATAAAATCACCACCTGGATTTAAGTAATCAAATAGGAAAGCGTCTCCCATTGGATAGTTACTGCGAGGGTGAATGTTTCAGCTGATAAGTTATTAAACATAAACTGATGCAGTGAGCAGCTTCTTGTTGAACCGTGCTGAAAGAAACATTTTGTGGTTGTGGAAAAGATGTCCTGTTTCAGAAGGGAAACATTATTAGCATAAATCAGAGAAAACATCTAAGGAGATTATTGAAACTACTAATATCTGGTTAAGAACTGCCCGATGCTTTATTAGAAACTAAGGACAGTGTGGGGAAACGTCATCTTTGAAGAAGGAAAAAAATGCTGAATGGTTGAGAATCCACGATGCTCTCAGTCTATTTCCTCCCAAGCAGAAAGTCAGCACTGGAAAGTGATAAAGTGGGACGGGCCAAGGTTGTTAACATGAAGTTAGTTTGATCCCAGTTTAGAGGTATAATTTTAGAACACAATGCCTCGCTGAACGTGTGCTGCAATTCAAACTAAAAGTAATCCACCAACATGTTAGTGTGACCTTTTTTTAAATATTTTTGACAGTGTATAAACAGCAGTAAACATATTTATTTTGATATTAAATCCAATGAGGTGTACCGTTCTTTTTGTCAAGGCAGTTTTCTTTATTTTTTTTCTTGTTTTAATGATTCTGAACTAAAATTGAAATGAATTGCCTGATTTTTTTTTAGTTGATTTTGAGTAATTTTGTATTCTTTTATCAGTTTCAAGTTGTTTCTGTACTGTTTCCAGGTGTAAAATGTTACTTTCAGTGGGGTTTGTAATCGTGTGTTGTGTGTCCGCTCTTCCAGATCTCACAGCTATCTACGCTGTAGTTGGCRTTATAATCCTGGTGGCAGTTGCGGGAGTTATTTTTATGGTTTACCGCACAAAGACAAGATCCTCGTCTCCTTTACCCAACTCAATTGTAAGCATCACTRATTTATTAATCTTTATCTCAACCAATGTTTATTACACTCTAAATAATCTATTATAAATATTTTTTAGAAAACATTTGCCACAGTAGAAGCCCAGCTCACCACGAGTCCAGAGTTGGACAACATCAACACACCTGACTCCCCCACACCTCTGCTGACCAGCATCGAGGAGACGGACGTGCAACAGGATCCGTTCCTCCTCGCGGTTAACGGGTCGACAGAAAACGACCTRCGCATGCGCTTAGGGACGTCTTCTAATAACGTGTCTGAAAGCGTGAAGGAAGGGACGGCGAATGGAGAGGGCTCTGCTTACATACAAGGCGGCAACTTGGAGGAGGAGGAGGAGGAGGAGGAGGAGCCTGAGAATTCCCGGTCTCCTTACGAGAGACGTGCAGTTCCGGTGCAGCTGGCTCCTGATGATCGCACGGAGGGGTACCGTGGTTGAACGAATACGGAAGGTTTAGACGTGCTTTGACTTATTATTTTTTGCCAGCAAAAAGAAAAAAAACGTCCAGGATTTTGTCCGGTTGGACTATCTGAGCCCCACATGCTGTATTTTACTGATCTAACATCTAGGATATAAAATGTATCCACATGATTTAAAACGTTCCTTTTTACAAGCTGTGCAGTGTGCTAGGCAAGATGTTAACAAAAGCTGGAGACGAGCAGTTAAATAATACATTATAACAAACATTTGACCAAGTTTCTTATATCAGTTTTTAAGATCCAAATGGTCCCTCATCAGTTTGAGCTACATTTCAGCCTTCAGGGCTTCATATTAAACCTCAGAGGCTTTTGGTTATAAATGTATTTTGTACAGGCTTAAAGATTTTAATTTAAATCTTGTTTGTTTTACTCCTTTTATATAAGTACTGTAAGTAAGAAGTAAACTAAAGAACGATGTAGCATTGAACAATAATGTTTATCTCTTATACAGACTGTTTAGCACTTTTCTGTAACATGCCAATCATTTAAAAGCATTCAAGTCAAAGAATAATCATGGTTGCACTATTAGGCAATGCCTACTGATTTTATTTTTTTAATCCCCGTGAATGGCACGAAATGTTTTAGGAATAAAACCCACACTTGCTGCTAGTGTCTTATAATGAGGCCTTAGCAGGAAAAAGCGGTTCAGTGACCGACTTAAAGAGGTGGATGAGCTAAAAGAAACAAACGCGCTGAAGGTCTGAGTGTTACAACTATTGCTAATGAACAACCGTAGTTTCTCTKAGCAGAGTTCAAAATACTTCCGCTGTACACAAACCCAGGAGAAAAAAAAAAMAACTTTAATTAAATAAATTTGCTCGAGGTTTTGTCCCACAGCGACACCTGCTGTGTGTACTTCAGCATTACAACTAGGCCTGTCGCGATAGTCAATAAATCAATTAATCGCACGATAACTTTTTTTGAGGTCGGTAAAAAAAAGACGCCGATAAGTTTCATTTTCCTGCTTGTTTGTTTACTTCGTCTCTCTGCTCCGCTGCACAGGATGAGCTCCTGCAGCTGACCCCTCCCCTCCTGTTTTCTTAGTGTGGGAGGAGCGAACTGTAGCTTTAGCGTGAGAGCTAGTTTCTAAAGAAACGCTTCAAAGCAGAACGGGGCTGCAGCAAGTGTCGGGGCAGAGAGAGAGAAGGAGAAGGAGAAGGGGTGGGGGCTGAAACTCCGCCAGACTCGCGACAAAAACTCATCAAGACTTTACCTG